ATTATTGCTTTAAATGACCACACAACTCCATCAAAACTGCACAAAATAGCACCCACATAGGAGCAAACCTAGAAATCCTAATGAAGCTACACAATAATAATTTGGTAGGGATATCATCTAGTATGGGGGCCTTCAAGATTCCAGATTACTCAGGCCTGAGAGAAATGTTTGCAGGGTTCCCTTTTCCTCGACATTCTGGGATCCTCAGCTGAGACAGTCAGAAAAAAGCCACCACTTTTATTCTCTTTTGGGGCTGGGGAGGGGAGGGCAGGATTTCAGCATTTTTTAAAAGTTGCTTATTTCTGCAGGTATTTCAGCCTATCCAAGGTTGTTCTCTCTATGTGGGCATTTCAGGATACCATGAGACCAAAGTCTTGCCAACATATGTGATTGTCCTTACACTGGTACAGGGAGTACTCAAGAGCAAGCCAGCTCAATGCAAACAAGGCTCATTTCTTCTACTCCTACTTTTAGTCAGGATAAGCTCTTGTTTCCAGCTTCATAGAACTATAGGAAAACAGGAAGGTTCTTAGTTCAAATTTCTGGAGTTGGTTTCTGAGAGAAGGGGCTTAATAGAGGAGAAGAACCTAACTTATATTTTAAGAACTTGCTTCCTGCTTGCCCATTTAGGGAATTTTTGGTCAGGTTGGTTCGTGAAATACAGACGCTGTATTTCAGGGGGTAGAGGTCCATTCACCCTTTCACAACAGACCTTACCAGCCCCTCAGAGTGCAAGCCGCCTAGCCAACACAGGAAGCATTGTCCACAGAGAACACCCAATCTTGCCCTGCCTCTTCAGATTTGGAGTGGAGGAAGGGTAGCATGTGCAGAAGGTGCTCATTGAATCTGATAGCCTCTAGAGCAGTATTTATCATTCCTGGACTGGCTTCCAGCTAGACTGGGAAATAGCAACAAATATCAGATCTTGACCCCAGTTCTAAAACTGATAGAGATTGTGCCACCACCAAGCCCTTTGCTTGCCAGCTTCTTCTACTTAGGAGGCAGTTACTGCAGACATACTGATTGTGTTGCAATTAACTAAGAAATCTAATTTTCACAAAAGACCTACTCTGCAATCTCATATCATGCAGCCTCACAAAACACCGTCTCTTTTTTATGATGCTCATAAAGATGCATACTTTGAAGCAAGGGGATCATCTCTCATCATGTTTATTTTTCTTTCCAGTATGAAAAAAATAGCCTATGAAAAATATTGGCGAGCTTTTCAGAGGGATTCATTTTTTATTTACTGATAGTTTAGAAGAAACAATTTGGGCCAAATGACTGACCCTCTTTTGTCTTTCTAGAATCAGACTAGAGTTAATTTAAGATGTTGCACTCGCATACACGTACACAAACATACATTTTTCTTTCTGTTAACTCCCTATAGCCTAGGCCAAGAATGGACTCTTGGATTTTGAAAGGACCAGAGAGTGGCAGAGCTGAGTTATTTATTTTGGCTTCTCTTGAAACAAATGAGATACATTGTAAACTAGTAGGTGAGAAGTTATTGGTATTACTGTCTGCTTAATTGATACCTCCCAAATTTGGTTCCTGGGATTAGCTGCAGTTTTGAAATCACCTACTCTTCTATGCCAGTGTCCAATTCTCCCACTATGCACAAATACCAGTCTATATGTGTAAAGAGTTTGAAAACCAGTGAACCACTCATTGTACCTAAGTCAGTTTTCACCCACCATACCACTTTGCATCCATAATCCCAAGGCATGGTATCCCCTGTGTTCATATTGAAGAGGAAATTAAGAAACTATTAACCTATTCACTGGAGCCACCTAAAAAAATTTTGGCCTAAATTATCTGGTTTGATTTTCTATAATGATGAAATTCATGTAATTTATTGCTGAATCTGTACTACATTATACATCAATGATAATATCTTCTACTTAAGCATGCTTCCATTCCTAATTCATGATAGTATTTTTGGTTTTATAACGATGGATATCCTTTCCCTACCACTGTTCATCTTTGATAAAGAGGGGCGAAAGGAAAAACAGATCTGCAATTTTTTTCAAAGACAGAAGGCAACATGAATTGTGTGTGTTCGAATATTTGTGCATATGTGTCCACATATCCACCTGGAGCATTCAGAAATTAAAGTGACATTAAATTTTAGTTGTGTTTACTTCCTGTAGACCAATCTAAACCCAGGTTCATAGAGCAGTTAGAGCTAAAAGAGAGTTTAAACACTTTACCATCTTCCCCATTGGGCATTTAGAGAAACTAAAGCTTAGTCATTTATCCAAGGTCACTCAGAATATTAGTGGCAGGACTAAAATTCAGGTTCTTCTTTTTACTGCTGTAGTGCCTCCATTCACATTAATTTTCCACTAGGGACACTAAATTCGAAATACTCTGAGAGAAAATTTCAGTGACATTCCTCTATGTGTCTCAAAGAGATGATTCCATTGTTTGTAGGACACTGTCAACTAGACCTTGCAGCTCTCAGTGCGCCCACACATTGAGTATGGTGACACGATGGCAGAAGTTCAAGGACCCAGCAGAGGTTAAGCAAATGGCCCAGTGATTTCTCTAAGAGGGATTCCAGACACTTGATAGAAGGAAGGCAGTTTGGAATTTGCGGATTTTTCTGTTTGCATGGAGGCAGAATGTCTTAGAACAACTTGTACTGTTTCAAGTGTCTGACGGAAGCCTCGTGTCCTGCTTGCCTGATTCACCTAGACTTTTAAATTTTTAAAATATTTTTTCACCTAGACTTTAGACATTTTAAATGTAGTCCAGTGATGAGTAAAGTAGGGAGAAGAGCTTCTCTACTTTTTTTTTTATTATTAAAAGATGAATTTTCCCTGGATAAAGTGATAGTGAAAGGGACTAATAACTAGTGAAAGGGACAATAGCCTTGTACATCACTTGAGAACTGAGGTTTTTCCTCCTTTAAATAAAGTGAGTACAGTGCTAATGAAAGGTGTTACCAGCAGTTCAAAGACTGATGTTCTAGTCTGAAACTGGTAATATTGTTTAAGTCTCTTTTTTTTGTAGCTCCTCCTCCTTTGGACATATGTTTGTGGTGGGGAGAAGGATGTTTAGATGAGAGACTCCTACCCACTTGGCTCTCATCCCTCAAGATTTCTTAGAAAGAAGGATTCTAGGTTCTATCTCACATCATCCAAAGCTGGAATACAGTTTAGCTTTTTGGTCTACACAGGCCAAGAGAAAGGAAGGCAATGACTCATTGACCTTGGACCAGGATATGAACACTTTATCATTCAAACCTTAAAGCTAAATCCCTTTTTGGTTGCATAGTGCATTTTCTTTACCTAAATCACTTTAGGTCTTTGTCTTGGCCTGCTTTTTAAGGCCTCTATAGGCATTAGCCACTGTGCCACAGGGAATGAGAAAAAAAGCACCTAGAAGAAGGTGCTTTAGGGAGGAGTTATGCTCTCAGTGTCTCATCTTTTCACCCCACTTTCCCTCCATCCTGCACCAAGTTGGGGATGCTCTAAAGACACAAGTGAAACTCCAAGTCTCAGTACAAACTGATTGTCAGCTGACTCTCACCATTCTACCTACAGCTTTGATCCAAAGCCAAGACACTAAAGTGCAAAGGAAGAAATGAAACCCCAGTATTTTGGCCATGGGCCAAAGCAGGGAGAATGCTGCAGACAATGGTGCCCTCATTTGAGGCATAGTGGTGTTGACAGAGAGCGGACAAAAGCCTGCTGTCTTCAGCTTGCGGAACTCCCATCTGTGAATATCCATGTCTTTCAGCAGGACTCCCGTCCATGCAAACTCAATTCATCTTCTAGTCCCTCTCCTTTTTTTCTGGAGTGCCCTAGCTATTCTGGGACAATTTTGGCACTTCAGAGTTAGAAGGAAAGAGAAGCAGTTGTCTAACCTTCCTAAATGTTAAAGCTAAACAAAGCACCTGAAGGGAAAAACAAGGAAAGACTTATAAAAATATAATGGGGTCATCCCCCAAACTTCCCACATTATTTATGATATATGAAATGTCAAAATATAATAAACAAATTTTCTAAACAGTACCGTAGCTAGTCTGCAGCAGCCTCGTACTGCCCCTTCATCTCTTAAAACTGTACTCTTTTGGAACCACTAGATAATAAATCTGTTTCATTCCACTGATCCCACCTTCCCAAACATGCACCCACTGGCAATTCCAAAGAGACTCTCCAAAAAATAGACATCTGAAAAAAGTACATCTGTTTACACTCAATCTATCTGTATATTATTTCTCAAGATTATTACTTTTTTTTTTAAACCATAAAAATATTGCATATTGGCAATATAATGAGAAAATCATTGTGGCCATTTCTGGGTGGTGGTGGAGGGTGAGTGGGGTGGGTGTTGAAGCACAGAAGCAAGAGGGCTCAGAGAGGGGCAAGTGTGGTCCTTATCCTTGAGACATGAGGATTGAAGTGGGGTTACCTTGACTGTCAATCCTCGGGCCTCTGAAATGTCCCATCTCTTGAATCACTCTCTTCTCTTCTCTCCACCTCTTTCCCCGTTTCCATTACCCATGGCCAAGCCGCATAACCATCTAGAAGCAGAGGCAGAATGGCTTTGGCCAGTTTGAAGATAGGTATGGCATTTGGAGGGGTGTAATGTGGGACACATACCAGAGCAAGCTTATTTGTGACTGTTTCCACTCTGGGAAAATTGTCCATCACTTCTGTGACTTTAAAAATTTAAGCAGTTACTAGGCTGATAGGTTAAGAAACAAATCTTTTGTTTTTGTGGCTTTGCATTAATATTAAGCATGAATATATATCATATATTACATTGCTTTCCTTCTGCTTTGGGGCAGACTGCACTCTCCTTCCAAATAGGAAAACTGTACAGCCCATGGATGGACTCAAATTTTTGAAAGCTGTTATTGTCTACCCCGCAACTTTACTCCACTGTTATCCCACCCCTTCCTCCCAGCCGTCAGTTCCTGTTAGAAAAATCCCTCCCATCCCACCTCCCACCAGCCCACCCAAGGTTAAATATATAGTGCCACATTCTAAAGTTCATGCATCACTGCATTTTGCTATTGCACTTATTGCAGAGAAAGAGAGTTGTGTATGTGTGCTCTCTCCCTCTCTTCCCCTTCTCTTCCTTAGGCTCTCAGATTCCTGTGCTATTTCCACTCCGCCCTCTCCCAGCCTCCCCCCACATCCCAGACCCTTCACTGGTTGTGGACATCCTCTCTACGGACAATCTTGTAGATGATCCAGTAGAACATGTTGAAGATGAGGAAGGCCATGGGGAAGCCAATGCGAGATATTTTGTCGATCTTCTTGGCCCTCTGGATGAAGAGTTTTCGCATCTCCTCTGGGGACTTAGATGGTGCAATCTTGTAGATGATCCAGTAGAACATGTTGAAGATGAGGAAGGCCATGGGGAAGCCAATGCGGGATATTTTGTCGATCTTCTTGGCCCTCTGGATGAAGAGTTTTCGCATCTCCTCTGGGGACTTAGATGGTGCGGGAGGGGGGTTGGTGGTGGTGGTGTTGTTGGTGCCCTTGACTGAGATGCCATCCTTGGCCTGAAGACAGGCTGGGCCCATCCCATAGGCAGAGAAGTTGAAGCGGCCTTCTCCGGCCTCATCTTCCTGGAATAGATTCAACATGGGGCTCTACTTAAAATAAGACAGGGTCTGGGCACCCACCCTGCAAGGCACTCCCTTGGGGGCCAGGCCATGCCCATCTGGTTCTCCTTGTCTCCCAGATGGCACCATTCCAGGTTTCTAAGGCTTTTTGGCTGGCTGAGGAGTTCTGCCTTATAGAGGGGCGCCACTTGCATGCTGAAACAGATGCAAACCAGGGGATAGGGATGGCTTAGAGTACAGAGACCTGCGCTCCATTCTTGGCTCTGTCACTTGCTGGATGTATGACCTTAGGCAAGTCACTTCCTTCTATGAGTCAGGGTTAATAAAAAATATTTTTTCCTGTAAGTGGGGAATAAGATTCACCACACTACCCCACAATGTTCTTTTGACCATCAGAGATTATAATTGAGTAGATACTCAATGCTGTACAGGATTTTGGTTAGAAATTCATAGGACAATCTGTAGAGATCCCCTGCTTTGCCTCTGTTGCCTCCTTGCCCTCTACCCCACCCCTTTCCCCAGTTGATGGCTCCCATGTGTGGGTGGAGGGAGGGTATGTGGCCCAGGAGGGAGCAGAAGCTCTGGCCCTCACTGTTCTTTCACAAGCCAGGGAAGCCACAGCTTCTTCCTGACTCCATGTTCTTACATTCCTGGCAGTTGGGACAGACCTCTAGATTTTTATTAAGCATCATTTAAGGCCCTTCATCATTTGGCTCCAACTTACCTTTCCAGGCTTTCCCCCTCCCCCATCATATGCTTTGCATCCAGCTTTGTTGTAGTCTTTCTCTTGTGCATTCTCACCTCCCTGCCTCATGCTCACTACCAAAATGCCTGCTGTCTTGGCCTTCTAGTTTGCCTCTCTCCAAGGTCATGGTGATCTTGGCCTGGTCTGAATCATGGAGGCACACTGTTGTCTGCTCTCATGTCCAGCTTTGTTATCTTGCCAAGTGAGCTCTGAGGTGGCACTGGGAGTCAGTGTTTTGGTCTCAGCTGAGCTATTGATTCTGTGTTTGGCTCTGGGGAGATTTTCTTAGCTCACACTGCTCTCCTAGATAGGGAGAGCTTTTAGGATAGGAACCCTGTCTTCTGCCTGTTACTGTGAAGGACAGGGCCAACAGAGAACAAGAAACACAGTATAGGATCCACCAGTGCCTGTCCATCTCCACTAGTCCCACCCTAGGATGGGCCACCATCTGGAGTTGTTGTGATGACCTCCAGTCTAGTCTTCCAGCTGCCTCGAGTCTGTCTCCCACCCCTGACCCATCTGGGTGGTTATAAAACCCAGATCTTATTGGTCATCTTTTGCTTAGAACCTTTTAACAGGCTGCCACTGACTTCAGGATAATTAAAATCCTTAACATGGTAAAAAAAAAAAAAAAAAAAGGGCCTTAGATGACCTGGGCCTTGTCTACCTCTGCAGCCCCATCTTATACCATTCTCTGTCTGGCATTCTATGCTCCAGTCACCCTGAAATATTTCCACATATTTGAAAGCATCATGTTCCTTCTCTTTTAAAATCCTTAAAAAGGAAAAAAAAAAAAAAAAGGGCCTTAGATGACCTGGGCCTTGTCTACCTCTGCAGCCCCATCTTATACCATTCTCTGTCTGGCATTCTATGCTCCAGTCACCCTGAAATATTTCCACATATTTGAAAGCATCATGTTCCTTCTCTTTAACTCTGGACCTCTGTTCAAGTTGTTCTGTCTACCAGGAACACACCCCCAACCCAAGCTCCCACCTCCAATTCCCACCTCCAACTCCTTTTCTTTCACCTAACTAATTCTTACTCAGAAGCCTTCCCTGAGCTTCCATTTAACTAATTCTTACTCAGAAGCCTTCCCTGAGCTTCCCTTCTGTGTGCTCCATAAGCTCCCTGAACATATCTCCCTCTTTTTTTTAAGCTCTTATTTCATTGTATTGTGATTTCTTGATTAATGTCTGTCTCTTCCATTAGACTGTAAGCTCCATGAAAATAGAGGCAAAGTCTGTCATGTTCACTGCACACTGAACACTGAACATATGAACTTAGCTCCTGGCACATAAGCGCAAAACTCATTAAGTATTTGTTGAATAAGTAAATTTTTACTTATATATCTTCACCAGTCTCATCCTCCTTATTTTATTTTTTTGCTTTGTTTAAATGGGTTTGTATTCATAGCACCAGGAGGATTTGAGACATATGATAAATGCTCAGGAAATCTTTGGCAAATGATTTAATCTGGTACAACACCCTCATTGCAGAAGCTGGGGGAAAGAGAATGAGCTACATTCAGTGCCTGGCAAATAGGTACTCAATAACTATTGTCTGTGAGTAGGGCAACGGTAGGAGGTTAATTCCAGAGCCAAAGAGAGGAGTGGGGGGAAGCCGGCCAAATTAATAGACCCAGTACCTGGAAGGGGGTTTAGATTTGACTCTATTGCATTTTAGTAATAAACCTGCCTTTGCTGTGGGTTGTACTGCTTGAAAGTGCTTTTTATGGGGCCCTTGTTATGCAGGGGGAAGCACCAGGTTACCTTTCTATGCAGTTTTTGGGTGAATTATTCTCTGTCTTCCTTATCTGTTAAACACAGGAGTGGAAGGAGTGAAGCTGTGGACTGAAGACTCCATCTAGCTAGAAGATGATCAATTTCACATTGTATCTGGGAGAAAGAAAATGCCCTAGGAATGACTGAAAAAAAAGGCTTGCTATTCCTGTGGCAACCAGCAGGTGGCAGGAAATGCACACCCAACATCTGGAGCTGCTTGGGAGTGGAGCAGAGGAAATCTGCTGGTGTGCTTTGGAACCCAGGGAGGTTGCTAGTGTGCCTGCTGAGTCTGGGTCTCACAGAGATTTCCTAATAATCTACCTAATGAGGCCGGCCAGGGAATTCGAGGACCAGATGCTTTCTGCCCAACAAATGAGGTAACATGGGAAGATGGTGGGAGCTGGGTAGCCTGGCCAAAATCACAGGCTCTGAGAAATTCAGGTATGTAGCTAGTTTCTCTCCAATCACCATCTGGGGCTTAAAATCCCCTCTGCAAAATTCCTGCTAAAGTGAGGTTTCTGCAGTCCAAGCTTATATACCTCTAAGTGTACAAGCCACATCCAGAGTGGCTTACTCCAGAGGAAGCTCTTCTTTATGGTGAGCTCAGTGCTGCATCCTTGTGGTTTCTGACATTTGGGTCAAGTTCAGAGCCCCTATGAATAAAGTCACATTAATTCAACCACACACAAGGAGACAGGCAGGAGAAATGTGAGTGACGAAGTGAGCCGGTTAGAAGGAACTGTGGTAAACTGCAGAATGCGTTCCCTACCTGAAAGCAATTCCAAGGTACTAGTACACATGGGAAAGCTCATCCAGAGTGGCCACACGCTGTGATTTTCCCAGTGAGTCCAGAAGTGTGGTTTTAAAATGCTGGCACCTTGTTCTAGATTTTTCAAACTCTTCTGGCCAAATTAAAGATATTTGCATGCCAAATTTGGTTTTCTGGATACTAGTTTTTTTTACCTCCACTTTGGAATAAGCTTCAGTTTCTTCTGGCCAAATTAAAGATATTTGCATGCCAAATTTGGTTTTCTGGATACTAGTTTTTTTACCTCCACTTTGGAATAAGCTTCAGTTTTTTTTTTTTTGTTGGTTGGCTGGTATAGGGATCTGAATTCTTGACCATGACATAAGCTTTGACCTTAATTCTTATTTGAGATCTAATAATTGTAGGACAATTTTTTATCTGCTTCAAGATAGAAACATTGATTAACAGATAAGAACTCATGGTGTATGACTATGGTTTTGATAAGAACTTCGGGTCCTTGAGCACCTCCCCTGCCTTTGCCATCAGTGCCTCTTGATCCTGGGGCTTGCTCAGCCTCACTGTGGTCAGTCTCCCTCATCAGTTGCATGACAGAAGTGGATGGAATGATCTCTGAGATCTCTTTGAGTAGGAAACAGAGCAGGAGAATCTCATCAAATCTGGATAGTGGCCTGATTCACACTTCACCTGGCCAGAGGGAAAGCTTTTGTTTTCCTCTAGTATATAAAACTGGTAGGTATTTGGGGAGGGTGGAGGCAGCCTTTGGAAGTACTATAGGCCCACTATGCATCTGCAGGGGGCTCCATTCACATTTTGGTTTGTGCAAATAGCACCTCCTGGAGTTGTGAAGCATACAGTTGAAAGTCTTGGTGTCAGTCAAATATTTTGGACATGGTCTTTCCAGATAAGTGTATACAACAAGAGTCTTTAGCAGAGGGAAGAGCAAAAAGCAGCTAGTCTATGGGGGGGAGAAAAGGAAAAATACAAATAAATCCCAGGGAGTTGCATTTGGTCAGTTTTTTGCTTAAATTTTTTTTTTTTTTTGGAAGAGTCAAAGGCTAAGTATTCAATGGACAGCATGGAAGGACTAAAACTAGGGATATTTTAAGAAGTACTGTCTGGTTTGCTGTACGCTAGACAGTTTCCTTTTTCAACACAGATTTAGAAGGATGGTGATATCTTAACTCCATCCATGGACATCTTCTGTCTTGGAATGTCTGTCTCCTCCTTAAGGTAAACCGCTAGAAGTTAAATGAATCAGATTGCTGATGTTTAAGAAATACACTGATAGAAATCTGTGTATGTAATCATTTTAAGCCTTGGCACTTGTGTTTCAGAAACAAAACTTAAAGCTACTTTGGCATCCTCTGGTTTAATCTTCACCACAGTCCTCCATTATTCCCATTTTACAGATGGAGAAACTGGGCCCAGAAAGAGAGTACCTTCAAGTCACATACCGAAGAGAGCTAAAGAAGCAGAATCCTTTGTCACAGCATACTGTAGCTGGGTAGAAAGTTATTTTTAAATAGGTCAATCTAAAGCTTGTAGAGCCTTGGTATGTTGCAGATATGTCGTGTGACCTAACAAGTCATAGTGTATGGGTCCTTGGTTGCCTTAGTCTATCACTAGAAAGACTTCAGGGCAGGCTCTCTGACTGGAATGCTTCCTCTTCATTTGTTAGTTTGTTTATCCCTTGTTTCTTTTGTTTAACAAATGCCTACTGCATGTTCACTACATGTCAGTCATTGTGTTAGGCACCAGGGATACTGCACGAGCAAAAATAGAAATGGTCTCTGCCCATATGGAGCTTATGATTCAATGGAAGAGATGGGTGTTAAACAGTCACGTCATCAAATGTATAATTATTAATCAGGATAAATGTTTAGAAAAGTAGAAATTGAGTTCAATTAGTACATAGCCTTTGCTGCCACACACAGCACCTTTGTCCAAATTTTAAAAAAGGCATCTGGGCATATGAATTGGAATCCCTTTCTCTGAACTGATACAGTCCCAAGCTAGAACATGACTTAGGGAAGAGTGCCTCCTTGGCTGGGGCCTTTGAAAGATACAACCTGCACAACCACACTTGACAGCCTTAAATGAAGAACCTTAATAAAGGACTTAGACCTTCACTAGAGTATCAGAGAAAGATGCTTCAGCTGAGAACTAGAAAATGAGTAGGTTAATTACTAAGCAAACTGCACTGGAAAAGCAATCCAGGAAAAAAGAACAAGGTATCTCAAGTCCTGTGTATACGTTTGAGGAACTAAGAAAAAAGCTAGTACGGTTGATGCTCAGAGAGCACAGGGGAAAGTGAGGTGAAGTTGAAGCTAGGGAGGAAAGCAGGTTCTCTGGTCCCTAGGAGAAAGTTCTTCTGGGGAAGTATTTACGAACCAGGGTTTGGAACAGTTTGCTCCAACAGGCTGAACACTCCCCAATGACATTTTTTGGTTGGAACACAACCTCTGAGTGAACAGAGCGTGGTGACTTTTCAGAGATGGCCTGCCAAATACTGCTTTATTCAATCCCCCATAAGGTGAGAAAACCCATTCTGGGGGAGGATTTTGCTTGTTGTCTCTTTCCTGGAGGTAGGAAGCAAAGGTCTGGAACATGGACATTCTACTTTAAGATCCCACCTTTTATGGTGCAATTCCTTTCTGGAACCAAGCCCATTGAAATAATGCAGACATTTAGAAAAAACTAATAGACATTTCCCAGCCTGCCATCTTTTGGGTTTATAGCTAGTCATTATCTTGACCTCATCAGCATTTGCTCTTTTAGTTCTGCCTTTAGGTGTAATCTGATAATTTCTGTAGTGTTACTGTTATGGTTGGAATAACGACTGTCTATAGACCCAACTAGGGCATTATTTAATGTGAGGGGAAGCTAAGACTTCTAGGACTTTAATTCTTAGTTCTCCCATGCCTTACTCGCTGAGAAGGATGGTCCGGGAAAACAAGTATCACAAAACAGGAATGCTTAGAAATCATCCATTTACCACCAGCTGTCCCTTCTTAGGTAGTGACCCAAAGGCCTACCTTGTGATGTCTCCTCTTCCTCCTGAATCGGAGCAGCTCTTTGTGTTGCCGAGACACAAAGTTAACAGCAGCGTATTCCAGCAGGGCTGAGAACACAAAGAGCAGGCAAACTGCCATCCAAATGTCAATGGCTTTCACATAGGACACCTAGAGTAGGGAGAGGGACACAAGGAGGTAAAAGCACAGGACAGTGAAATATTAAGCATGGTGGAATGTTTTTTGCTCTTTAGTAACTGCCCCCATCACCCTCTACTGTCTGCTTCTCAGCTGGGATATTAGGGTGGAGGGTACAGAGGAAAACAGAAGAGAAATTTATCAAAGAGACTGAACAGAATATTGGGGAGGATAGAATATGGTACCTAGAAGAGTACTAACGAGAGGAGAATGTATATCTAGCGTTATCGTTTAGTGGAACACGATGCTCTCTTTACTTTAGGAGTGATAGGAACAAAATGTTGTACTGAGTATTCAAGGTGAAAGGAGGACGTTCCGTGAAAATGGCAGTGTAAGGACCTCCAAAAATTCTCTCCTCCGTAAAATCAACGAGAACACTGGCAAAATGGTCAGAGTGAATTTTTTCAGAACTCTTGCTAATTACCAAAGGCTCACAGCAGTCCTGTGAGCATTTATTCAAGAAAAGCAGCTTAATCTCAATTAGAATGGTAAACAGTAAACAATTAGAACATTAAACATTAAACTTTATTTAAAACAGTTTTATTGAGATATGTCACATACTGTAAAACTCACACATTTAAAATGTATAATTCAATGGTTTTTAAAATATTCCCAGATATGTGCAACCATCATCACAGTCAATTTTAGAACATTTTCACTACCTCAAAAAGAAATCTGGTACCTTTTAGCTATCACTTCCCTACTCCCGTAGCCCTAAACCACCACTTCAAGAGCTTTATGTTTCTATAGATTTCCCCTTCTGGATATTTCACATGAATGGAATTCTATAATATACAGCTTTTGTATCCGGTTTTTCTCACTTAGCATCATGTTTTCAAGGCTCATCCAGATTGTAACATGTATCAGTATTCCATTCTTTTTTGTGGCTGTGGCCGAATAATTTTCATTGTATGGATATATGACATTTTGTTTATCAACTCGTCAGTTGATGGATATTTAAGTTATTTCTACCTTTTGGCTACTATGAATAATGCTGCTGTGAATATCTGTGTACAAGTTTCTGTGAGGACATATGTTTTTATTTCCCTTTGTGGTATTTCAACTTGCCCTATTCCTATCCCAACCTTCCAGCTCCACTGAATATCCAGTCCAGACTTGAATATCGGTGTTCTGCAAACACAGTGAAAACCAGCTCTCTGGCAGCCACTGGATGGGGTAGAACAGAGTTGGAGCTTCTTCAAAGTCCCATTCCCAGAGAATTGTCATCATTTGCCCTCTCTTGAGATTCACTCAAAGACCCCACTCACAAGGTTGTCTTTATTTGACCTGATTTGGAGCTAACCCAGTATGAACAGCCTTTTCTCTGTGGGCATTTGTTGAAAACAATCAGTGACAACTCTGCCTGAAGCAGTTGGGGTATAGCAGGTTAACCAAAAAGCTTAAAAGACAAAGCTGGGTGATGAGAAGCCCATAGGGGGCTTTGGAAAGCTCTGATATATTCTTGGGAATCTGTGTGCATGCTTAGGGCTGTGTGCATGCCCAGGAAGACCTGAGAAGGCCATAAACTCTTGCCTTTGGCGAACCTTGGTGCTCTGAGCAAGCAGATAGTGAAGGCTAAGGTGAAGATGCAAACTTCCTGGCTGAGTGTTAAAGATGTGACCTTATACACACACACGCAGCCTCTTGGCAAAGGCTGGGAGATGTATAGATTTCAGGCATTTAAGAAAAAATTTTAAAAATTTTTAGCTGATCACCAAGCTAACAGAGCAGAGACTTCAGTGATACCATACAACGAAGAATACAGACTTTAAAGAATTACTTCAGAAAAGTTACTGAAAAATCTAACAAAAACAATGACAAATCCTGAGGAGGGGGAGAATCTGATATCCAGTGTTGCCATGTTGCCACTTTATATTATGTAAAGTGTCCTATTTTCAACAAAAAATTATAAGATGTGCAAAGAAATGGGATAGTATGGCCCATACCTAGGAAAAAAGCAGTCAAATGAAGCTGCCCCTGAGGAAGCCCAGATATTGGACTTAATAGACAAAGACTTTAAATTAGTTATTTTGAGTATGTTCAAGGAACTAAGAGAAACCATGTATAAATAACTAAAGAAGAATATGAAAACAATGTTTGAACAAATAGAGCATAGTAATAAAAAGATAGAAATTATTTAAAAAGAATCAAATAGAAATTCTGAAGTTGAAAAGTAAAATAACTATAATAAAATTTCACTAGAGGGGATGAATAGCAAATTTGAGCAGGCAGAAGAAAGAATCAGGGAACTTTAAGAAAAATCAGGGAGTTTGAGATTATACAGTCTGAGGAACAGAATGAAGAAAAAGAAACAGAGCCTCAAAGACCTGTGGGAAACCATCAAATGCACCAATGTATGTATAATAGGAGTCCCCAAAGGAAACAGAAAGAGGCAGAAAGAATATTTGAAGAAATAATGGCTGAAAACTTTCAAATTTGATGAAAACCACAAATCTACAGATCTAAGAATCTCAATGAATTCCAAGTAAGAGAAACTCAGTGGGATCCATGATTAGGCACATCATACTCAAACTGTCAGAAGACAAAGACAAAGACAGAATCTTGAAAGCAGCAAGAGAAAAGTGACTTATTACGTATAAGGGTTTGTTGATAAGATTAACATCTGTATTCTCATTAGAAACCATGGGTACAGATGGCAGTGGGATGACAGTTTCAAAGGTCTGAAAGAAAAAGATTGTCAACTTTTGTCAGGAGTTCTATATTCAGTACAACTATCATTCAAAAATGAAGAGAAATTAAGACATTCCCAGATAAACAAAGTCTGAGAGGGCCGGCCCGGTGGCGCACTGCTACAGTGCGCTGCTTGGGAAGCGCGGAGGCGCTCCCGCCGAGGGTTCGGATCCCACATACAGACCGGCCGCTCACTGGCTGAGTGAGGTGTGGGAGCAACACCGAGGGTTGCGATCCCGTAGCCGGTCCCGGTCCGGTACGGGTGCGACACTGAGGGTTGCGATCCGTTGCCGGTCACGAAAAAAGACAAAAAGGGAAAAACAAAAAACAAAAAAACAAAGTCTGAGAGACTTCTCCACTAGCAGAACTGGTCTACAAGAAATACTAAGGGTAGTCCTTCAGGCTGAAATGAAAGGATGCTAGGTGGTAAGCCAAATCCGTACAAAGAAATAAAAAGTACCAGTAATGGTAACTGCATAGGTAAATATGCAAGACAATATAAATGTATTTTTTCTCCTATCTGATTTAAAGACAACTGCATGAAGCAATAATTATAAATATGTGTTGATTGACATATAATGAATAAAGAGGTAATTTGTATGACAATAATGGTACAAAGGAGCATAGTAATAAAGAGATAGAAATTATTTTAAAAGAATCAAATAGAAAGGAATGGAGCTATATAGGAGCAAAGTTTTTTTCAGTGCTCTCTCTCTCCACCATGTGAAGACACAGTGAGAAGATGGCCATATGCAAGCCAGGATGAGATCCTTCACCAGCAGTCACCTTGATCTTGGACTTCACAGCCTTCAGAACTGTGGGAAATAAATTTCTGTTGTTTAAGCCACCAATTCTCAGGTATTTTGTTATAGCAGCCCAAGCAGGCTAATATACTACTGTAATTTAATCGGTATTAATCCAAATTAGATTGTTCTAAAGTAAGATGTTAATTGTAATCCTTAGGGCAACCATTAAGAAAATATGTGACAAAATATATAATAAAAGAAATGACAAGGGAATTATGATGACACATTACAAAAATGTTTAATACAAAAGAAAGCAGTAATGGAGGAATAGAGGCACAAAAAAGACAAGATATGTAGAAAACAAATAGAAAAATGACATGTAAATTGTACCAAATCACAATTTTTGTCACATTAATTAAATTAAATGGAAATGGACTCAATACAATCAAAAGTCAGAGCCTGTCAGACTTGATTAAAAAAAATAAGATCTAACTATATGCTATCTATAAGAGACACACTTTAGATTTAAAGACACAAATAGGATAAAAGTAAAAGAATGGAAAAAGATATACCATGCAAATAGTAACCAAAAGAGATCTGTAGGTAATAAAACCAATATCAGAAAAAGTAGTCTTTAAGAATAATAATTGTTACTGAGACAAAGATGGACATTTTATAATAATAAAAGGGTCAGTCCATCGAGAGGATCTAACAGTTATAAGTTATGCACCTAACAACAGAGTCCCAAAATACATGAAGCAAAACTTTCCAAACTGAAGGGAGAAATAGACAATTCAACGGTAATACCCAACTTTCAAAAATGGATAGAACAGTTAGAAGATCACCAAGGAAATAGAAGATTTGAACAACAGTGTAAACCAACTAGACCTAAAAAGTATCTACTGAACATTCCACACAACAACAAAAGAATATACATTCCTATCAAGTGCACATGGAAAATTCTTCAGCATATACCATGTATTAGACATAAAACAAGTCTCAATAAACTTAAAATAATTAAAATCATACAAAGTATGTTTCCTGACATCAATGAAATAATATTAGAAATCAAAAGCAGAAGAAAAGTTGGAAAACTCACAAAAATAAAGAAGTTAAACAACCTATTTCTAAATCATCAGTGGGTCAAAGAAGAAATAAAAAATAAATTAGAAAATACTTTGAGATGAGGGCTGGTGGTTAGCTCAGTTGGTTAGAGCATGGTGCTGATAACACCAAAGTCCAGAGTTTGATCCCTGTACCAACCAGCCACAAAAAACAAAACCAAAAACTTTGAGATAAGTGAAAGCAAAAATACAATATACCAAAACTTAGGAGATGAAGCCAAAATAGTTTAGAAGGAAGTATATAGTTCTAAATACCTATATTAGTAAAGAAGAAAGTTCTCAAATCAATAACTTAACTTTCTACCTTAAGCAACTAGAAGAGAAAACTGAACCCAGAGCAAGCAGAAGGAAGAAGATAATAAAGATTAGAATGGAAATAACTGAAATACAGAGTAGACGAACAATAGAGAAAAATAAATAAAAC